ACTTGTGTGCTTTCTAACAGCAAGAGAACATAAAGATACTGTCTAAAGACTTCTCTAGAAGCATTTACAGGTAGAGATAACCTTTATAAATCTTAATAAGGACCCAACTGTACATGCAAGGTGGTGAAAACAATTATAGGAATATTTTTACACTGTTACGCTTGTTAAAAGAAATTTTGGATTGAAAAGGTGTGGTAAAACTGTGCATGAATACTAAAATTAAAACTCATTTAAACTCACCATACATTTCACAGATACTTTACGTTTTATTGGACTGGCAAAGTGGCTGTACAGAAGAATATCAACTGTTTCAGTATGCCTCTCAATAATCAAATCCTTTTCATTCTTAGGAGTGTAGTTAAAACGAACTGATCTATTGATAGCATCTGCTTCAAGATGATCAATAGTTATGTGGTTTTTGCCATTTATGCAAATTTTAGAGCAAAACCAGAGGTTTTGTCCCTGTAGCACAAGTGCAATTTCATCTCCATGGCGATAGAATGTTACTGAGGAAACATCAGGCTTCAAAAGAGATACAGCATTAGCAGCAGCAGATGGTGGGTTCTTAGTACGAAAATAGAACTTCTTAAGACAATCATTGTACTTCTCTATGGAATGCTTCATGAAAAAACATAAACCATCAAAGCACAACAACAATTACATGTATAAAATTTACCTCGTCCATGATGTTGCTATTTTTGGGAATTTTATCGAGCTCTGCTGCACTTGGAATTTTTAAAATTTCTTGAGCTCTTTCTGATGATACTTGAGAGACCATTGCTGAATGAATATAATGATATGTTCCAAGAAGTTTAACATCTCGAGGTTTTGTCAAATGGTCATCAGAAAGAACAATCTTTAATTCAGACAAAGGATTTTCGAAATCAGCACTCTATAATTATTAATCAATTTGTAACACAAAGCCAATGTTTTATTGCATACTTTATTCTTTTTCACTGCTGCTTGGCATTTAAGGAGATGACCAACAATTACAGCCCCAATTTTTCCAGATAACTATAATAGTTCAAATAAAATGCAAAAATTAAAAATGACTTACTTTGTCATGATCTTTTACTCCATTGGTAATATCATCAAATTGTAATAGCCTTGACACATAATCTCCTTGCAGCTGAAAAATGTGGCTATTTTCTTTCATCTCAGTATGACACTCATCTAAAATTTTGTCTGCTTTGAGTGGAACCAGTGGCACACCAAACGTGACACACATTGTACTCTGTGAAAGATTACTAATGCTAAGACATGTCTGCTTCCATACTGAAGCATACACAGAGAGTGCCAACAGACCACCAAATTCAAATCCTATCAAAATTTCAAAAAAATTATTAATGTACATGTACATGTACATGTACGAACTTACCAGTAAATATAATAGAATAACCATCTTGTATTTGTTCAACAAAAAAACGAACTGGAAAATGATCGGTTTGCTTTGTAATACCTAAAACAGACTGGCACATAATACATAAATTTAACTTGATGACCTTTATACCTTCACTGATAATGCCACTTTCCTGCCATATCTCAAGATCAGGCTCACCTAAGAAGCCAATATAAAGCTCTTTATCTTTTTCCCGTTTCGCTATAACATAACGCTCCAATTTTGGATCTTGTGGCTTTGATACAGACAACTCATCAAAATCATGAATAATGCTATCTAAATATTTCTTGCCATCTTTATGCACAACAAGACAGCATAATATCAAGCAATTATGAACTATTGCTTCAGAAAATAGCTTTTTGTCAGCTTGTGGAGGTATTATAGCTTCATTAATTGCAACAGAAGCATCAGAAGTACGAGTGATTTCTTCTAACATCGCAAAAGACCAGGAGTAGAGATCAGCTGGGATTATCATTTCCTTATAACAAAGTCTGTTCAACAGTTCTTGCAGCTGAGATTTTGAAACAGAACTTTCAAACTGGCTCTTGAAAAATGATGTGACGCACTCTCTTATGACCGTATACTTAGCATCAATATTTTCATCAGATTGTAAAGTACAGTTATATAGGGCTGATAATTCTCTCTTAAATTTCTGAAGCTTTATCTGGTCATACTGATCAGTGCCCTTCATTATCTCTACAATTAATACAATGGAGCATATTTAACAACAGTATTAAATTAGTACATGTCTGATTCTTCTATTGAGAAACTACTGATTTATAGCCCATAAAATTTTGCACTATGTATACAGTATAGCTAAAACAATTGTGGAACTGCCCAAAACTCAAGTTTATGCATGTTAACTTTCATGATTACATAGTCTTGCCCCTTTACAGTGTAGCAAGATGACTCACCTCTTATCTGCCCACACAGTTTCTGTACTAATTCTGAATCAACTTTTTCCAAAGTTACAAGGAAGGATTCAATGTGCTCACGACATCCTTTTATCTTCTGGAGTGCTGTGTACAGTAGCCTTCTTTTCCTGTCTTTTAACGGACTTTTACTAAAGACAAACTCGCGCGCTTCTTCGTCACTCAATATATTAGCGGAGTATAACTCATCACACATCTCATCTGGCTCTGTTAAATCCAATAAAGCTTTAAAGTTATTCTTGAGGAGTCTATATGCTTCATCTACGGCAGAAAGAGTTTCTTCTGATTCCTCGACAGCAGCCATTTAAACACAAAGTACACTCAGGATCCGCCTCAAGCATGCAATGAATAATGTTCAAGCTATGGCTTCATAAGCCTTCAGTTCATTGGCATCATTGCATGAAATACAAAAAATGTCATCACCAGCGCTTAAGAAACCATAATAATGATAATGATAGGTTCAGAATACTATCATACAATAAGAGAACACAAAATACAATATAATAATGATAACAATAATAATAACTAGAAGTAATGTAGAACATTAAGGGGCGAGCCTAAGCTAGCAAAGCAACTAGCAAAGCAATTATGTGGCACTGGACCTATCCATCTATAATCTACTCCCGATGATTTCAAAGCATGCATCATGATTTAGGCATAGCAAGCGTGATTTACATGATGAAAGTTTAATGCTGCTGATAAAATCACTTTATATCATTTGTTTTATTTAACTTTTAGTCTTCTAGTTTCACATACACATTTCTTGCCTATAAATGTCTGGAAAGATGCTTCACTTAGCTTTAGATATAATATTATCTGATGTTAAGATGACTGAGAAAAGCTTGATTGACTTTCACAGTTTTAATAGCAATTGCATCAATAAAGACGAGCTTTATAGTTTATTCATTGAATTTAAAGCCTTCTATAGCTGCTTAAGAAGTCTTTGGATGGTGTATCTGCCTTATATTGCTGCTAGAAAGCTCATGAATTCTTCCAGTGTGTTGGTTGCCATTTTTATTTTACTGTGACCGCTCCCACTTTCAATGAAAAATTGAAAATTGACTTTATATTGCATTGGTAATGCATAGTATCTATCTACCGTATTAGATCTACGCATAAA